GCAGGCACATAGTTGACAAAGTGCATAAGTGCATATGGAGACGGATTTGGTGCAGTGCAATCCCCTTTGTTAGTAGTGCAGCAGCTCCCCCTTCTCTCTCTCTCTTGTTTTGCACACTGAGATTTATATAAAAGCCTTGCGTAAGACACTCACTTCTACCAGCACACTTCGTCAAAGCCAAGGTTGCTGACAGTGAGAATACTGCGTGCTGGAGCATGCATATATATGTCAGCTGATCTTGTCATTAATCTGCAGGATGAGGGCATTTCTACTCAGTGTTTGCTCCTAGTGCATAAATCTATTGAAAGTACACAAACAGAATTTCGTTTTTTTGCTGAACTGTAAGGTTCTTGTTCAAGTTAACGAAGAGCAATGCATCATCATGGAATGATAAACTTAAGGTATGGAACTATAAAATAACATTTTTTAAGCAGCACACCAGACCACAGGCACTTTAGGTGTATAATAACTTTTTCATTTGTTTCCAGCAATGGACAGTTTGTAGGGAAAATAAACCATTTAAAAATAAAGATAAGCAAGCAGTCTATTTTCTATAGTGCTGGTTGAAAGCTGACCTCCACTGTTTTGTGGTAACCAGATCAAGGTAAAGCAGCAGGCAGCCCTTCCCAGGAGCTCCAGTAACTAAGACATCTACAAGCTTCTTGAAAAGCTGAATATTATGTTTCAGTTTCGACTGTTATTGACTGAGACTGCTACTTGTGTCGCTGAGATAGCATAGCATGTGAGAAACTTGACACTTCTGCATGTTGCCATTCGTACAGGTTAATGTTAAAGTTTTTTTTTTTCATGATTTCATGTGCTCTTAATAATCTGAACTAAATACGCCGTTAAATTTAATGCAGGTGCACTTCTATAAATTCGAATATCATATGGCAAAAACATAATTTGAAAAATCAAATTTGATTGAGCAGTCCATCAAACAAATTATATTTCAAGACACTGCTTCTTTTTATGTTTCGAAAATGGCTAACAGCTGATGCAATCTAAAAGTTGTTATCATCAGAAAATTTTAATATTACAATAAACTAAGAAAAAATTATTAAAATTATTTCTAACATATATGCCAATCAAGTAAGAAGTGTTTGCACTCAATCCCTCTTCAAGTCTCCTTCTAACTGCATCACTGTGTGGCATTGATGCTATCAGGCTTTTTATCTCTGCTGAGGTTGCTTCATCAGCGGCTTTTAGCCCAGCTGCTTTGTTAGTTTGTTGTCTCTCTTTTCATTATTGATGATATCCGATATCATCGCTATGGATTTTAGTTCAGACAAGTTTGCAAACAGGTCAAAAAATATATAAAAGCCCATTGAAGATGTTTAATACTCCCTAATAAGCTTTGCTCCATAATTATTCAAAAAGCTGTGAGTGTTTCTTAGTTCTTGTGCACAATTTTCCTTTCACTTAAATTTCCATAAATCATCTTTGATAGAGCAGCAACAATCTCTTCCTTTGGAGGGTGATCAACTGTGGAGTCACCGCTCTTTCTGAAGACCAAAACATAACCAAAATAAAGAAGCTGTCTATTACGTTCTAATGTTTTGAGATCCACTTGATTTGATCAACAGTTTCTTCACCAGTAACTGTTTAAAACAGAACTACTGCACAATTTCACAACCATACCGAGAATTTAGATTAAATTGTTATAGATAAACAAATAACAAAACAAAACCAGCATTAATATTTCAGCATAATTGCAGTTCTTTTAAGGTTTTCATTCGTATATTTCTAATCTAACTATTTTCCATAAGAAAAAATCTGAACAAAGCAAACAATTACATTTGCTGCAAAGATAAGTGAGAGGGATTCTTGTGTGTAAATAATACTCAAGATTGAGCCTTTGAATCATTTATTGCATGTGCACAAAACAATTCAGAAAATGGATCCAGAGTACATTATTGAAAGTAGAGTTAATGTGTGGACACTTCATCTTCAAGGCTTTTGAAAATGATGTCATCTTGATAAGAAGGGATCCCTGACCTCAATAAATGTGTGGCAGTTAGTGTATCATGGAGAACCATTCCAAAGCAGCACCCCACACTCTGCATGGCAGCCTCTTGGCAGTTGTTCCCATAGCAACTCCACTAGGTCAGCCAATGAGAAGAGGGGGCTGGGCAGGGAGGAGGATAGAAAGATGGGGAGGTGAATGGAGAAAAAGGGGGTGACGGTGTGGGGGTGGGCTTCCCAACACACACTGAGGGATAGTAGTGGAGTTGAACTGGTGCAGCAAAGCACTCATTCAGGTACGTATCCACTGACTCCAAATTTACATGGGGATGTACATATTCAAATGTGCTAATGCTGCTGGTTTCGACAGCAGCATTAGCACATGTTTTAGACATAAAAACACAGAAGAAAAAAACCCTAAACAAAATATATATATAAAAAAAGTTATTTAACTTTTCTAAATAAACAGGAGCAGTTGGTTGACACTAGTCAGATTTCATGGATTTCTTTCTCTCACCTTTTACCTTAATTTTTCTTGCCCATATTTAACCTTTTACTCAGGTGTTTATGTCAAAGCATTGTTGCTTTAGTCTCTTGTGGATAATCTCTTAGCAAACCAGTTTTTTGACTCAGTGATTGAACATGTTTGACACTCAAACAAATGGAGGAAGGTAAGTAGACTGTGTTTGCGGAACATGTGCATGCCATTAATGCATTTCCTCCACTGATGGGACTTTTTACTTTTCAAACAAAAATTTTTGTGTTTTTTTTAAAGAGTTATTTAATAGTCACATGGCTTTCAGTAAGCACTACATCAAGCATGTAGTTCCTTATTGTGAGAAACTCAAATTTTCCTAAAAGAATAAAGCAGGAAGTATCTGAATAAATTAAATTTTAGCTCAAGAGATGCAAAATGAAATTAGATTATGAATCACAAGATGAGAAGTGAGAACCAAAAAGGCCAAAAGAAAACCTCTAAAGCTCTAAATAATAATTAACCTAAAAACAATTGTTTAATAAACAAAAGCAAGTTATTGTAAACTTGTGAAGAAGCCTTAATATTAACTGATCGGCATCTTAAACAGTCAAACTAGTTCAGTGATCTGTTTTAATTCTTATGATTCAAGAATCCAAATTACCTTACACCCTACAATTTTTGTTTCCATTTCACTTGTATACGAGGACATGTGAAGAGCTCTCATGTTAAAGCTCAGAAAAAGCAGGAAAAAAATAATTAAATGTCTCTTTATAAGATTACTTCCTCACATTTTAATAACAATTCACTAAAAAAGAAATTTGAATAAATTCTTGCATAGAAATGCATCACAAACTGCATAAAGAAACTTATATAATGATCTGTTAAGCTTTGAGACTCTCATCAACTCATGAACATATTTTAAATCAATGAGGACGATTAAAGGTTAAAAAAAAAAACTTAAGTTACACCTTGCAATGAATTAAAAGAGAACCAGAGGAGCTCTGTGATGGAATATAGGTTGAGACAAAGTTGCATCAGACAGACGCTACAGAACAATAGGGAGTGGCAGCCTAGTGGTTCGGGCATAGACCCTGGAATCCTGAGGCTCTGAGTTAGAGCCCCACTCCCACAGACTGCCACTCTGGGTCTGTGTGCAAGACCCTTAACCCCCGCTTGCTCCCTGGGCGCCCCACGATGGCAGCCCACTGATCCCAAAGGGACATTACAGAAGGGTATGTTTATACATGACTTGAACTTCAAGACTTAAAAATGAACTAATCCAACCCAATGTGGGGGAAATGGAATATTACTTTATGCTGAAGCAAAAGAAAGCTGTAGACATTGTTTTCACTATTTAACCACATCAGGGAAAGATGCAAATCTGAGTATTATTTGCTAAACTTCAAAAAATTTTAAATATGGTTCTAACTGTGGGACAGTAGGTGATAAAACGGGTGTAAATAAATCAGCAAAGACCAGGTTGCAAATGATCAGCAATGACTTGATAAGAACTAAGTCACATAAGGAATTTGGACTCATAACCATAAACTCATGGGCCATAAACTAGAAATAGTTCATTTTAACTGTTCTCTAAACTATTTCTGTTAAATGTGACCTTTCACCATGCTGTGCATTAACACCATCACCATTAATCACTGTGAGCTGACAACTGTGCAGAAGCATTTCGGTTATGATAACTATCTCATTTCTAAAATAGCAAAGGTGTTACAAAGTAAAGGATATAAAAGCTAAATGCCAGTAGAAATCTTACTTTTACTTCCCTGTGACACAAATTATATAAATTATTTTAAAGTTATAAGAAAACCACAGTTGTTATTCTAATTACCAAATAAAACTTACATCTGTCATCAAAGATATTGTTTCTCTTGCCAACAATTTTTAATAATAAAACAAGCAAAAAAAAGCTTAAAGAATTATAAAGATGAAAATCAACTTTAGTTTAAATGAAATCCTTTTTTTTTCTAAACCGGGCAACAACATGAGACAAAGTGTAGGAATAAAAAAGCAGGACTGATGCTAAGAAATAAATTCAAGATAATTTGTACATTTTAAAGTATTTTTTAATGGATTCTTCCCTGAGAAGAAAAACTGAAATAGTTTTATATGGAAAAGTTGAAACTTTATGTATTTGTTGTGTAATTCATACTATAATAATTAACCTAACTGGATCTTTTGTTCTTGTGCTAGGTGGTTTAAGCAAACTTATATTAGGTATTTTTCCTCTGCAGTCATTTTTGTTAGATGATGGAGGTGTTTTACTAGTTTTTCCTGCCCTGTCACTTAAAATTCCTATTGGGCCATAGGTGTTTCCAGCAGTTGTACAGATTTCTTTTAAATACCACAAAAAAACAGAAGGGAAAAATTCCACAGTAAAATCCCAAAGGTAGGTGTTCTATGCTAGCTGCTTCTGATTTAAACTACAGTATTTATTGTTTTATAAAGGGGAAAACTACTATTAAATTAACTTCTCGTTAATAGATCTATGCCTATAGTAGAACGATCCTTTACCACTATGATCAACTTTACAGCTGTCATATTTTTAAATGAGTAGACTCCCAATCAGTTTATTCACCAAATCAGTTAAAGTACATTAATATATTTTTTTGGCTGACAAAATTGCTCTCTTCCACCACTTTTGACATCTTTATAACAATCTCCTGGTAATATGACATCTTATAGGAACCAATCACCTAAAAAAGTCAAATTTAATCCTTTAAGATTACATAGTGATCTGTAGATTTACAGTCGATTCCATCAGCACAGCCTTTTTTTTTTTGTGGTCATGCTGCTTGTAACAGAGAATGAGCATTTCTAATTCAAGTCATATTGTCCTAATATATATTGAATAACAAGGGAATTTCCAAAGAATTATCCGACTTGCTCTAGGCAATAGCTCTAACTAAGGCACCCATCTCTGCACTTTATTTAATTCTCAATAAGCAAACTAAAAATAAGGCAACACCAAAAGAAAAAGCTTTGGTTAATTATTATGAACTTATATTTTGTAACTCAAATCAAGACCTATAAATAAAAATAAGGACTGTAAAGAGACAAACTAAAAACACACAAGAAAAAATCCCAACAGAGTTCTACTAAACAAAAGAAACAAATTCTGATGCTGATATCTTTGTTAGATAAAGTGCTTCAGTTACACACATCACACAGATATCTAAGCTTAACTTCAATTCTCACAGAGATGAAAACGATCAAATGTTTACTTTTTTATGAGCTTTCATGTCTAGCTTTTTCTTATAGACTGTATATATATATATATATGTATAAAAAAAAAACAATCTAAGTGATGTCAAAATTTGCACAATAATTGTGACACATTCATTTTATGGCATCCCTGGACACATTTATGCATACACATTTTTATATATTCTACCCCATTCACCAATCAAGGCTATTTAAAATACAATAGCTTCACAAATACTTCAATATTACAGCTCCCCCTATGCTTCTCCACTTGTCTTGTCATTAACTTGCAGGTGCTTGAATATCCACAGTAATAAAAGTAAACAATTGTCTTTTTAAGATCTCCTTAACTGTGTAGCTAAGGGAATTTAGTCCGTCTTTATCCATAGTCTGTTTAGTTTTAGCAAGTTTGTCAGGATTCTTTGGATTAGGTTCGTTATGTTTGTCTCTTTGATGCCTGACCATCTTGTACTTCCCAGTCACACCATCCGGTCGAGAAATGGACATCCCACGGTAGACGACCCGCCTGTAAATATCGTCGTCCTCTCCACCCCATCCCCAGTAAGTGTTTGGACAGCCATTAATTTTCAAGAACTGTTGCTTGGACAGCGAGGAGACCCCACCGAAGTAGGTAGTATAGGGTAGATGGAAGTTAAACTTGTCCATAGCAACAGCCAAATGCCTTGGATTATCAAAACACCTGTAGAGATTACGGTCATCGAGGGGCACAAGGTCAACGTCAGAGAAGACGAAGCACTCATAGTCATATTCCTTCTGAGCTTCAAGGAAGCCAACATTCATCAGCTTAGCTCTGTTGAACACTCCTTCCCCTTCCTGGTTGATGACATACACGCCATAATCCAACTGCTGGCGGATCAGGATAGGATGAATGTAGTAGAGCAAATGATTGAGGTGCTCGTGTCGATTTCTGAATGGGATGATGATCGCTACCTAAACAAAAAAATAAAATAAAAAAACAACAAAAAAGAACAATAGCCCAGGTGAGATTACTTTCATTTGATAGTTTTTTTATGTTCTGAAAACAACAAAAAAACACTTGTGGTTGTCAGTGAATTTCAGATATTAGGGATTTCTTTGATAGATCTCCTCTAAAGAAGAAAAGTTTTAAATTACATAACTTCTTTTTAGTAGTAATACATTTTCTTTTACAAACATTATTCTAAGGTTTTCTTTTACTTGTAGGAATATTAACATTAAAATGTTAGTTTATTGATATGGCATTTACTGTATGTCCACCTCTAAGTTTTTTTTTTTTTTTTTTTAACTAAAGGGCTCTTATAAACAAGTCTAATCTTCTATAATCTACATTAAGAAAAAAGGAAAGAAACCCAGTTAGCTTTTTCTAAGGATGTCAATCTCTCCACTTTTTCAGGGATGTGGTCATTTTCATCATTTCATAATTTAATTTTCATCTTTAATGTTGTTATTGTTCTTTTGGGGGGGTTAGTGAAAACTAACTTCAGGTTGTGAAACATGAAGGAAAATTAAAGGATATTAATATATATATATATATATATATATATTAAATCCAAAAAAAGAGCTCTCAATGTGAATGTAATAAAAATAAATGAAAATAATTTTGAGAAGTTTGACATTAAACAAACTCTTGTTTGTCTGGAAAGAAAAGCACAGACATTCAAACCACCAATAAAATTTGTTAAACTTGTACATTTATGAGGAAACGAATAACCCAAAAAGCTCTTTATAGATGTGACAACATCAAAAACCTCTCTGTTTTTTATTCTGAAATGGTTTCCAGGATTTCTTTGTTTTAAATGTAAAATAAACCAACATCTCATGACATTATGAAATTATTTTAATGTTTCTCGAATAAAAAAGTTCACAATTGGTAAAAGGAGATATTATTAGAACATTTTTGCCATGAACTTTTAATGCAGATTTTGACCTACCTTGTGTTGGGAGATGCAGTCAGTTGGCTTATAACGTCCTCCTGGCTGAAGTGAAGAACCAACCAGCTGTGTAACCTCCTCTAATGTCCGTTTTGTATTAAACTCCACAAGGAGAGGACCCACAAGATTTGGTGGGGTTTCAGGGCAAGGCTCCAAAGTCCTGTTTGAGATGACTGGCACCACTGTGATTTCATGGCTGATTTCAGTCACCTGTAAATCATCCTGAATCTTCCAGGAGAAATTCTGGTTTCTGTTCAATACAATGCGAGGAACAGCTGCAGTTGAAAAATTAAGATTTTTACCGTAGAATAAAACCACAGCATAAAACAAAAGGCTGATGAAGACAAAGAGGGACAAACAGGCCAATAGTTTCTTCAGCATGTTTAAAATCCTCGGTGTTCAGCGCTGGCATGCAGAAATGACCTTTCACCACTGTGCTTCCTGTATTCTCTTTGCAAGTCAAACCTCCTCTAAAAACAAGACAAACCAGATCAGTTTTTTTTTTCCCTTCATCAACTTCCTTGTTTAACTCAGCATATCAGGTTTAACCGCCTGCCTAAACGTACGGTTTAAAGTTTTACATTTAAAATCATCATAAGGCTTTTTCTACATTCTACATTTCTGGCTCAGTTTGTGATGATTGTCATAAACCTTTTTTTTTTTTTATATAAAAACTATTATTGCAATTACATACACTTCTTTGAGGTACTGGTGTTAACATACAATTTAACAAGAAACAAAAAACTATATTGAGAACAATTATTTTGTTACTAAAAAAAGACTTCACTTTGATGAAGGTGAAAAATATCCTCAAAGCAGCAGCAATATTAATTTAGTGACAAACCTTAAAAGTCTGTATGTTGTCAGAGTATGCCCTCTACTGGAATTTGTTTAAAGGTGCTGAGTCTAAGCAGGTCAACCCAAAGGCCTTCCGAAGGCCTTCATAGAAAGAAGCTGTCAAGACATCCCCAGCTTTAGCCTCAGATTCTGTTCTTCTATCTGATGCCCGCAGTGGTCCATGTTATCAGCCTGTTAACTGTCAGTCTGTCAAAAAAAGGAAAAACCCTTAGATCACCATAAATAAGATGGCAGCACTGTCCTCCGTTCACTGGAACTCGACTGAGACTAATTTCCTCTTATGGCAAGTTTCGAAACTGGAATGTCACTGATAAGTAACCGACTTCCCTTTTACAAGAGCGCCGGCCAATCACAGGTTCAGAAAGGGGAGTGCCATCAAACACAATGAGGAAACTGAGACCACCCAAAGGCTGACAGCAGGGTACGCTGAGGAAGAAAAAATAAACAAACTGACAAACAGTGAAAAGAAATGCATTTTGGGGGGGATGAAGCATAGCCACAAAATTAAACATTTCCTCACTGAAGAGTATCTTAGTGTCAACATAACTGAAACACAAAAGGTCTTCTTTAGAAAAGGTTTTTTTATTATCCAAGTTATGAATATGTAAAGAAAAAAAGAATAAAAGTATTGTATTTTACAGTTTATAAATAAATAAAAACACTGAAAACTGATTAAAGCTGGAAAAAATCTGGAAACATGGCCATACAGTAAATGGAATTCAAATTTTTGTGTATCAGTACAACAATAGGGGCTGTTTAACTGTAGCATGAATGGCAAATGGCATGCAGCAAAGGAAGTTAGCAGACAAACCTTGGTATGTGGTTTGTGGCAAAGCAGCGGTTCTGTTTCCATCCTGGCAGAATGTGCTTTTTTCTTAGTAAAAACAGTATCTTGATAAGAATTCAAAGCGGTGGAGAAATGAACAAAGCTAAGCAAGTTTGCTTGCACGTCTCTATTTTGTTAATTGTTCCATAGAAAGTTTCACTGAGAAAAAATGACTTTTCTTACATGCACTTTGAGCCGCGTCTCTACATTTTGAATCATTTGAGTTTTTTTTATGTCAAAAATAACGTTTACCATTGTTCCTGGTCAAACAGCATAAAACAAAAATAGTTTCCTTTCTAGATTTAAAATAAATAAATGTAAATCTCCAGTTATATGTTTATATTACTGTTTATATCTATATATATATATATATATATATATATATATGTGTATATATATATATATCTATATCTATCTATCTATCTATCTATCTATATATATATATCTATATCTATATCTATATCTATCTATCTATATATCTATATCTATCTATCTATATATCTATATATATATATATATATATATATATATATATATATATATATATATATATATATATATATATATATATATATATATATATATATATATATATATTTATTTACTATTTTTCAAGGCTGCACTTTTAAAAAGATGAAATTGTCCAGAGAGCTGTTCCAAACGAAATTTATTTTTGTTTTACAGTTGTGCAAACAAAATGACAAATAAATCAAAGTCTAAGTCTATACTATATTACTGTCGCCTGCATTTTCAGTTGAACTGCAACTCAAGCAACAAACTACATTTACTGTAGTTATCCCGTTTGTACACAATAGTATAGAGTTTTTGAAAAGTTTTTAAGTGAATTAACATGAGCACAGTTACTTACAGCATAGGATAATTTTCATCTGCACTGGCTCCAGCCTGATGGTACCCTTAAGAAGTACCCATTAAATATGTAACATTTAATATTTATCCTAGCTGTCAGTATTGACAAAGAAACAATAAGACACTTTTGGTAGCTTTTAAATTGTTGACTGAGAGGCATAAACTTCCAAAAGAAGTAAATATAATTTGGAGAGAAATGGGAACACAATTTACTTTTTATACTTTATTTTCAATTAAAGTAGGCCGCATTAAATTATGTGTGCCTTTTTCCATGGTGAATCTCCAAAATAGAACTCAACTCAGTGTTTCTACTGCATTTAGCACCATACCTATTTTTTGTTTTTGCAGTGCTCTGCACCTTCCACATCACTTTGATGACAGGTGCACTTTATAAATGGAAATGTTCATTTTCACTGTTAAGCTGCTGCTCTTTCATTGTTGATAAGCTGTACACTTTGTATATGGCATGTGGCATGTACTTATATAGCGCCTTTATTCAAGTTAGGAGACTTGACCAAAGCGCTTTACACTACATTCATTCACCCATTCACACACACATTCACACACTGATGGTGGCAACTGGCAAGCTACATTGTAGCCACAGCTGCCCTGGGGCTCACTGACAGAAGCGAGGCTGCCGTACACTGGCGCCACCGGGCCCTCTGACCACCATCAGTAGACAATGCAGGTGAAGTGTCTTGCCCAAGGACACAACGACAATGGAAGTCGGAGTCGGGGCTTGAACCGTCAACCCTTCGATTACAGGGCAAACTCCTCCAAAATGACAATGAAGTTTGTCTAAGTCATTTGTGACCACTAGATGGTAGTAATGTATTGCTGACCGATTACAAAACGAGATCCTGCTTATTCCATAAAAAAAACAAAACACTTTGTATAAAACAAAACAAAGAAAAAAGTAAATTCATCTGAATCATAAAGCCAGAGCAATAGTTTCCATGTCCCTATTGTCTGTTTTTCAATTTGAATAAATATTAACAAAAAGCCAAGTTCATCTTTGTTGTACGTATGAAAAAAATCACCCCTAAGAACATTTTCAGCAAAAATTATGCAGCTAAAGAGTTATCTGCTTTGCTTATTGACTGTATTTCAAAGAGGAGCAAAGATGGCTGGATTCATCTCATCAGTTTTTTTAGTTAGAGAATTTACAAAAATAGTGCAGGGAAAAGGACATTCTACGATTAAATACAGAAACAAATTTTAAATGTAACATATTTATCGAAACACTCTTTAAATATCTCCTGTTATTTATCATATAATAATAATAGGTTTAGAAAAGGAAAAACAAATAGATAGAACATAATAATACAGCCTTAGGTTCATCCTAGAGAACTCAACAGTTAAGTGTAACGTGATGCCCAGACCATAAAAGTGTATGTGTTTGTGTGCATATATGATCCTGTGTGTATGTGTGCTATTTGAGTGGTCTCAGCTGTGTAGAGTGCAGTGCAATGACAGCCAATCAAAGTTAATTCAAAATCAGAGTGGTTCTGACAGCTCCATGGTCTATCCAGGGAACAAAGCATGTGTGTGTGAATATCGGTGTATGTGTGTGCACACACCTCTTCAACCTTCCTCTTCAACTCCACCTGCTTCTCATTGCCCAAATGGCTAGACAAAAATCTGCTTTTTGATATGTATTCACTACTCAGCACTTGCATTCCACCACTTTTATTCTGCAGATTCAAAATGATGGAAATGTAGAGGTTTGATCTTAAGAGTTAGAATGTAATAGGCTGTCTTTGGGTTTCATTAGAAAATGCCTTGCTGCTTACTACATTTCTTTTCTTATGTTTATGACCCATAGTTTAAAATACTTGTGAAATTATCTCCGAAGGGATCAGTTTACTCATATTCCCCCTTAAATCTACCCCTTAAGCTTTGTTATAACTTGCTTTTGAGATTAAACATTCCTAATTTTCTCTTGCAATCATCTTAGGATCCCAGTCACTTTATGCAGCTAAAGTAGTTGTAGCTTGAAGGGTAAATATTTTAGTTTAACGCAAATTTTAAACAAAAAAAAAAAAAACTTTTATCAAAAAACACATATATCAGTCAATATAGATATTTTTTTTAATCTTGAGGTAAATTTTTGATGCTGACTTAAAATTTCTGCGGGAAAGCATGCTGAATTCATGATTCAATAAATATTAATTTATATGCCCTAACAAAAGTACTTGAAATACAAGGTAAAACCTATAACAAAAAGGGCTAAATTTGCAGTGAGAGGAAGATATGGCTTGGGATGTTTAAGGGACTCTGGTAAGACCGAGGAAACAATGAAATAGGCTACATCTGGAAAGGAAGAGTTCCATATTGATCTTGAACTTCAGCCAGAAATACTAATAAAATAAATGTCGTTGTATCTCAAATGTTGCTTATGTATTCAATAAAGCTACATTTTAAAAGCCTTTACAGCCCTTAAGCATTTTCCACAATTTAACATGCCATAAACCTTTATGTATTTTATAAGGAAGTTATGAGTCAATTATGAACATTTTTTTTTATAAAAACCTCAGTCAGTTCTGATGGAAAGCATTTTTTTTATGTTGGATTTAGGTTCAAGACTTTCACAGGCCTATTAAATACAGCTTAAACAGCTACCTCTTGCTATATGAATCTATATTCAGGACATAAAGCACAATCTCTCAGGAAAGTGAACAGTGAGACAGCACCAGTTGAAATAAAAAAAACAACAACTCCCAGTTAAATATGCTTTTATCTTACCCAATGTAGCTCTGCATCTGAAACTCCACCTTATTGTCAAATCATCCACAACTTTGACCATCTTTCATGACCCTGCTCAAGCATCCCCACATGTGATGATTTTCACCCAGGCAGAAAGAAAGAGCAGCATATTTATCCTATTTAATAGATTTTTTCTTAAATACAGGTAACCAAAGAATCTGAACTGGGTTTAGACTGCTTTGACCCGGTTAAACTTCCGAGTTAGCAATACTATTATCCTCGTCTAAGCCAGGGATATGTACCAAAGGCTTTTAAAGTTGCTGTAATTAAAACTTAAAGAAACCATTGATTGACCCAGATGAGTTGGTCCATTATAGACCTATATCCAATCTTCCTTTCTTCTTAAATTCTTGAGAAAGTAGTTTCCAAACAAGAGTGTGTTCACTTCAGTGGTGTCAAAAGTACACACATTTGTTACTTAAGTAGAAGTATAGATACTGCAGTTTAAAACATTCTGCTAAAAGTTGAAGTATCAGCTTCACCTCTTTACTCAAGTAAAAGTAAAAAAGTATTTGCTCCAAAAACTACTAAAAGTATAAAGAAAACTTTGAAAAAAAAGCCAGATGCCACTATATGAATTGAAAGCTCAATTTTTTGACTATTTCTAAAATTTCTTTGAGATAGCGCCAAGGATGAGAGAGGTCTTGTTAGTCTCTGTCTCCATCTCCCGATACGCTCTCGCCTGTGTCCGACCTTTCAGACATTTCGACATCTTTTTCTGAATCCAACATTGTAGCATGGCAGAGACAATTCGTGTTTGCAGTTTGAAGAACACCTGCTTGCTTCTAAAGATTTCCTTTAGCTAACAATGAGTGTTTGCGTTATATGACTCA